CCTTATTATATTCATTATTTCCTTATTGGTTATTTTGGGAAAATCCCAGGTATTTTGAGCAATAGGATTATAAAAAAATAAATGCTAATATAAAATTAAATGATAAAAGTAGCCTATATAAAACTGCAAAATAAACATTCATCTATCAGTATTTTTTACTTAAGTACATAAAAAATCAAGTACTTTTGTACTTTCACTCGAGTAAAATTGAAAACTGAGTACTTTTACTTTTACTGGAGTAATATTTTGTAATACGGATCTGTACTTTTACTCAAGTACTTGATTTGTGTACTTCGTCCACCACTGGTCTTAACTTAAATAATTAACATGTGCCATAAGCAGACTATATTCCCAAAAAAAAATTTCCTTTAGGAGTCTCAATGATGCCACACATATGAAAGAGGATGTGTGAGGCATGCGCTAGCTCACTAGTGACACCCTATCTGACCTACATCACAATGTTCCCTTAAACCTTAGACACAAAATACAAAGGGCCGCTCGACAACTTCCTTGTGCCTGGTGCAATCCTATACCTTGAGGAACTGCCAAATCACACGGATCATATGAGTAAATGTTACATGCACTTTCAAACACGCAAAGTAAATTTATAAAGAGTAACTGATGGGTGAGTGTGTGTAAGGCCAATGCAATTGTCCTTGAATATCCCGGAGTTGATTACGCCGAGTTGTGGGCCAGCTGGCTGTGCAAAAGTGCTGACATCTCAAACACAGACACAAACACACACACACACACACATGTAGGTTCACAGAGACACTGGCTGACTTTTCAAACATTTAAAATGGAAAATATCAGAGCAAGCACAGCTTTTTTCAAGATATACTTACACTAAAATTGGCTGAGATCTTGTCGAAGATAACACGTGCCTTTATGAAAAAAAAATATATATACTGATTAATAGGCAGTGAATAAGGCAGTGCATTATAAAGCAATGAAACAAGATGATGAATAAATATTCTGATAGATTAAGTCTCTTATGTTTAATTATATGGGTATTAGGTAGGTTTTTTATTTAATTAAAACACATTTTCTGACTTTTACAAGGACATTCCCCCTGTCAACCTATAATAAAGACATTCTGTTGACATCTGAAGCTTTCTATTTTACCATTGTGCTCCCATCCTCTGCCTTCCTTATGTTTTGGGTGCACATTGAGATGGACAAGCAGAATTCATGTTTGGTCATGCAGAAATGATTAAAAGGGTTGAGCAGTGACACAATCCTCTACCTATATCAGATACCATGGCTCCTCTGACAGCAGTCTTCCATCTGTTGCAGAGCCCTCAAGACTAAACCCACACTACCTGCTTGTAACCACTGACCTCTACTCAATTTTCCACCCACTTGGGTATACTCAGTGTCCAAAATTAACATGCCAAATGCAAAATGCAAGTAAAAATGGTCTTAGGCAAGTGAATAAAACCATGCTACAGAGTAGCTGTCTGGTAGCATTATTAGAACTGTAACATTGCATGGTGTAGATCAAACTGTAAGACATCTTACTGTCTGAACCTTGCTGATGTAACATGAGAGACTCAAATAAAACATGTAACAATGTTGAATATTTCTAATACTATGCTAGCAAAATTAAAACATGAAAACAAAATGTAAGATTTTGTTGGCAGTTGCTGACAATTTTTTGTATGATACTATAAATGTTTCTCACATTCCTTTTAATGTTTACCTTTATTTTATTTTAAATTTTTTCTTCAACTTTTCTGATTTTTATTGTATTGTAACCTTTTTGTAACTATATCTTTTCCAAATATACTTTTTTGGAAAACAATTTGAATCAGAATTGAATAGAATTTGAATAGAATCATGACTGGTAAGAAATATTTGTGGCCTGCCGATTTTGATTTGCCTTGTGAAATTATTTGCCTTGTGTGGCAAAAGTATGCATGCGTGGCAAAAATGGTGCGTACCTGTGCAGGGGTGAAAGGCACAGAGGCGAGGGTGCTGAGAGCAGGCATGAGCTGGGCTGAGGTCAGCTGCTGCAGGACACTGGATCCGAGCAGGGGCAGAAAAGGGCCAAGCTCAGAGACTCTCTGAGGAGTGAGACTGGAGGGAGACTGCAGGTCAGACGATTTCAAGACCAAGCTAGAAATCTGGAAACAAAACAAAAAGTAACCACAAACTTGAGGCTATTTCATATGTACCAATCCAGTATGAAATTTAACCATGGTTTTACCACAAATAAAACCAAAAAAAAACAAAAAAACATGGTTACTATAGTTAAACTGTGGTAACCACAAATGAATCATGGTTTTGCTACACTAACTATAGTTTAACCATGGTATTTGTAGTAAAACTGTGGTTATACAAATGATAATCAATATGTCAAAAAAACATGGTTAATTCACTTTTATTATTGTAAAACCATGGTTAATTTTCGTAAGGGATATTTTTCAAGTGGGGGTTGTTTTTTAATGAAGAGGGTGAATATAAGTGACAACGATAAAAATGAGACAGTTGATCTGGACCATGTTTACTGACCATATTGCTAGGAACACTAAAACCCTGGACCACACACGTCCTGATGTTGTCCTGGATCACTGAGTAGGCTTCCGTTCCTGCATATGCCATCAGCTGGCTGGGGTGAGCCAGACAGGACAGATTACCTAACCTGGAGGGGTGTGAGAGGAAACTATTTTATTTATTTATTTTTTTTGCTTTTTATATTTCCATGTCCCAAATCTGAAAAAAATACAAGGAATTGTATTAATTTCATTTTAATGGAGTAAAACAACACTGTATTTAGCTAACCTCCTGATCTGGTTGACAGTGAGATTCCCGAAGGTTCCAATGAGACTCTGAGCAATGAACTGCTGCTTAAGGAGACCCAACCGGTTACTCATCAGGACATCCAAACCATCCAGCAGCTATGAAAACAAAACACAGGACAATGAGAACAAAATTAGTCAAGATATGTCAACTGATAATTTTAGACTATTTAGTCATTTCAAACTATCAAATGGCCATTTTAAATATGAACTTAAAGTGTCATTTTTAAAATGGAATGACTACACTATAAAATCTGATTTTTCAAAGCTTTTAAAACAAAGATCATTAGAGTGCATTTGACAAGAAAACACTATTACATCATTTCTATTCAATGTTAATTGCTGTTTTTATTGCTTTGTTATTATTTGTGAAATTGACTCGCAATTTCTGAGTGTTTCAAGGTAAATCTTACACATCCTAATTTGTTTACCAAACTGTACATTTAATTTTAAATTTATTTGTGTATTCTGAAATGTCCTGTTCATATGGACAGCAGTGAAGAACCTTTCATTATGGTGTTAGCAGCACAGTCCACTACACAGCCATTCTTAATTCATGTGTTTCTGTGTTTATTTATTGAAAACAGACTACGAGGTCATCATGTCTGTTACAATGAACCAGTGGCAAGCATTGGCATTTTCCCCAGCTGAGCTGCCTGAGGGTTAACTGGAGCCAGATGGGTTCAGGTATCTTTGTGAGGTGTTGGGGCTGTTACCTGAGCAGGTGAGAGGTACTGGAAGCTCTGGAAGGGCAGATAGGCGATCAGGTTACCAGTGTCTCTGATAAAGGATAAGCTGCCGGCTGTCATGTTAGGCAAGCTCATGGACTGACTGAACCATCGACCAAACGCTTGCTGCTGCTCCAGGGAAAGGTTTTTGATGCTGAAGTTAATGATGCTTAACCTGGAGAAAAGTAGAGGAGCGGAGATGTTTTAAACAATTTGAATTATGTGTAAAAACCTTATATGTTATTATTGTTAACTAAAAGTATTACAAATTTATTAAGTATAACAATTTTAATAATAAAGCTGAAAAAAAATATAAATAGTGGATAAAAAAAACTCGCCAAATGAGAACTGTTGCCTTGGGAGCTAAGTGAAATAAAAAAAGTTGAATTTTAGATCAAAATAAATGAAAGCTAAACAGAAATATCTTTAAAAGAGGAAAAATTTGAATGAAAACTGAAAATATAAAAGTTAATTCAAAATTTTTAAAATAAATACTATAATAGTATATAAATAGTACTATAATACTATATCATATTATATATAATAATTATAATATTATAATAATAAAAATAATAAACAATAAGTGAATGGTGTGATTAATAGATGGCTCTTTTTAAACAGGTATATATATGTGTGTGTCACTCACACATTGATATTATTTTGTAGTGGCGGCATTGACAAGATGTCTGAAGGGGTAGCTAGAGCCAACAAAAGACCCATGTCAGGAAACAGGCTAATATCCCTGGGCAAGTGAATTTGGAAGAGCACAGACACCATGGTGTGCAGGTAATCATCTGTTAGCTTCAAAAAAGAAAAGACTGTAAATTATATCTGATGATGCATTTATCTTGATTGTTTGTTCCTTCTTTTTTTAATATATAATGATGCAATGATGAGATGGTCTACCTGCAAAGTGGCATAGTTCCTGTTATAGTACAGCAGGATCTCCCTCACAATTATGCTGTCTGCTGCACTGAGCACTGATCTCAAATGAGATAGAGGAATACGGAAATACTCCTGTAAAAGCAATAATGAGAAGTGCTACTCACACACTGATTTCAGCAAACAAAAGCAGATATTGTGTATGAATGATAATGCAGATTGACAAAGCAAAACATGAATTTGGCTCCAACACTTTTAAGTGTTATTTTTAGCAGCACAAAGCTAACAATTGAAAACATGCAAATAAAGTTGTTAATCCAACCTTGATCAGGAAAAAGTTAGTGGGCACATCTCTTCCTGTTTGCATTAGACTGGTCAGAACTTTCTGAAATACACACATGCAAAGTTTCAACTGGAAATGCAGTATAACAATATTGTCCTATAACATAACAAGAAGAACAATCTCAACATTGATAGGAACAACAACAACATACATTAGGTATTTGTATCACAATACTAATGTAGAGACAAATCAAATGACTCAAGAGTTAATATTACATGCTAAGGAAGAGATTTAGATTATCCGGTGACAGGTCTAACACCTTACACCTCATGTTGATGAGCTAGATCATGGGTCAATTACAAAATAGTGGTGAACCTGGAATGGGATATGCTCAATTAATAATCAGAAAAACTAGAAGAACTTCCAGAACTACTTCACAGTGTCATTTTTGGGAAACAGTGGTCTAATGAAAACAATGATATGCCCTGTTCTTAATATGAATTACTTCGGTTAGTAGCAATTTAATAATGATACCAACCCCAAAGCACTGCAAAAGCACACGCTTGTTGTCAAAGTTGGTCTCATTGTCCATGTAGATGACAATTGAGTCAAACACACTAAGCTGAATATTCTCGGTCACCCTCAGAGAGGTCAAATGGCTTTCTTCTAGAGCCAACAGCAGGACAACCCACAGGCTGGTGGCCCGCTTGACCACCGATATCACCCGTGTAGTCATGAGATTCTCCAAGCGAGGCTGGATGATCTTTATCCCACAGCGCAACAGCAACCGAAGACCCTGGACTTGACTGGCACCTGGTTGGCAGACAGCGCTGAAGTCTGTGCTGCATGTCCAGTTTAGCTTCTTAGCTAACTCCCTAGTTAGACATGGCTGGGAAGTTGTTTCGTTGCTCCCACCGACACTGGTGGTTTGGGGAGCTGTGTATGTAGCACAGAGAGTGCCGACCCAGAGGCTGGAGGGCTCCCGAGTGATGTGGGTGAGCATGGAAGAGTCAGCACAGATGAAGGAGATAAAGTTGGCCTGGTCATAGTCCCAGCAAAGAGCGAGGAGAGCAGCATCCGGGAGCACCAAAGCCCAACTGGAGTACTGACACTGCTCAGCCGGTCGGAAACCCATCAGGCTACCCCCGTTCCCAGCCCCACCACCTGGGCCAGGCGCAGTCAGGTTTGAGCATTGCTTCAATAACCAGGTGTTGTCTAAATTTGCCAGCAGATTCTGGAGAACCGTAGCGTTGGCACATACATTCCGAGTGAAGTTCTCAGTGTCAAGATCTGCACAGAGAGCAAGTTCAGTCATGTCTACAATAGTAGGCTGGCTCCAGTCTGAATAGACGCAAAGTTGCTCCAACAAATTTGTGGTGTCATTATCAGAGCACTCTCTAATCAGCCATTGGTTGTCAACATGAAGAGACAACTTGTCATACAAGGGTATGTTGCAGCAGACGTTCTGATGGAAGCCGATCTGGTCATACTGCCAGCATAGAGCAACCACAGATGGATCCACAGACATGTTAGTCCATTTGCTATAGTTACACCAAATATCAATGCTCAGCGGCGGTGGGCTTGTAGGGGGATTCCTGATAGAATATGTGCAATATTGCTCTACCCAAGCATTTTCGCTGTTCAGCAAAAGTTCAGTGACAAACGTGTGGTTAACACACACCTCATTAATGAATCGAACCTCATCATTTTGGATACATACAGAGATCCGTTCAGGGGTGATTGCTCGTACGCTCTTCCATTCGGAGTATTTGCAAGACTCAGCCACAAGGGTGTTGATGTCGATTTGTGGAGGAGGTTGAGAGCAATTGGGCTTCAGCCAGTTGTTTTCTTCACTGGAGAACACAACCATAAAGAAGGGCATACTGTCACACAGAAAAAACTGAAATCTCTCCATGTCATTATACCAGCAGAACGTCACTATTGATGGGTCGATGGTTTCAGCAGTCCACATGTTATATGAACAATACAGGTTCACTATGTACGTGTCTGACACGTTTGCACAGAATTCCCACACCCAAGCATTACTAGGATTTCTGACCAGCACTTGCATAGCTTCAGCATTGTTACACACAGCAAGAATGAATGCCGCATGATCATTTTCACTGCACATTGTGACCAGAGCTGGGTCCACAGCGTCAGCAATAGTCCAGTTCTGATAGTCGCAGAGTAGTTCGCTGAGGCTGAGAGTGGACCGCGCAATAAGACTTGATTGTGCGATGCCAAGATCACTACAGGGCTCAATGAGAGGTAAGCTGACGTTCTTGATCATGTGACACACGTTCCTCCAGACCTTTGTCACTTCAGTTTGAGAGAGTGTGCGGAGCGCTCGACACATCTGATAAAGGACATAGGATTCCTGAGATGTTGCTCCTAAAATTGCTGCACAAAGGGTTTCGTTTAGTTGGTTCAGGTTTTGCCGTTCGCAGGTGAGACTATACGTGGGAATGTTCACTGAGGTTGTGCCAGTACGACCGAACTGGATACTGCCTGTGGCCTGGCATTCTGGACTTGGGAAACCGCAAGGAGGAGTTTCAGGGGCCAAAAACATATCCAGAAGTGACTGTCCAAAAGACCAGCTTACATTATTATTCATGCCCCTAAATACAGAAAACAAGGCATAGAATGAATTGAGTCATTTTAAAGTAAAACACAAATGGAAATGAACATTTCTATAATCAGCAAAGAGTAATAGGCTATGATTTTAGTTTACATTGCTTTTTTACTTAAAAAAGAATGATAACAAAAAAGAATATATAATATAATATAATATATCTCTCCAAATGTATAACAGGAATATGGGCTTCCACTGACATACCACATGATAAGCTGTTTGAGATCACCTGTATACACAAAACAGAAGAAAACAAGAACAATCACTTACTGCACTGAAAAAGTATTCTAATACATGCAAAACAAACAATACTGAAGAACTGAACTTAACCTAAAGCTATGACACACCTTGTTGACACTTCTCACTCTGGTCTAGGGTAGGGATCTTAATGCCAAACTGTAATCCCAGGTTTAGAAAATCCACTGGCGTTTGAAGAGCACTCAACATGAAATCAGACATGAATGACATCACTGGTGGAATTGCCATGTCCATAAAACTATTCCATAAGGCTAAAAAGTTGTCTGACAGCAGATAAAATGGGAGGTCTGAGGGCAAAACATTCGTCAACATCTCCTGAAGAGAGCTTAATTGAGCCATAGTGGAGTCTGCCATTCGCAGATTAGATGTTGACATGCAAGCTTCAGCTTTAACAGAGGAGATCACAGAAAGTACTTGTTCATTCAATGCAGATGAAACGATACTGGTTAAATCTCCTTGCCATCCACAGTGCTGTCTGTCCACCAAAACGCAAATTAAAGTCTGAGGGAGAGTTTCAATGAAACTGTCAATCATTGCGGGCTGGTATATGGAGAATAAACTGTTGAATATTGTCAAGTAAGTATCTAGGTTAGTGCTGTCAATTGCGATTCTCTCAATGGGTGCTGACATTCTGCTCATGCTCTGATGAAGATTTGGTGAGGCCTCTTCTCCCTGTTCTTCTTTTGACAAGGATCTGATGTTCTCTATCAACACTTTGATGTTCCTCTCAAATTCATCCTCACTCCTAGAGCTCTTTTCACTTGGTCTGATGATAGTCCTAGGTGATGAGGTCACCTTTATAGAGTCACCACATGCAATCCCTTTGAAGAAAAGGTAAAAAAATGGTCTTACTGCCTTAGAGTTAATACATTGTAAATACTGGGTGATAAACGGACACCAGGGGGCCTGATGTATAAATGTTGCGTGTGCACAAAATGGGCATGGAAATGTGCGTACGCAATTTTCCATGCACATATCAGGATTTATAAAAAATAAAGTAGGCATAAATATGTGCGCACCGTACGGACAGTCTCTAGACCATGCGTACGCACTCTTTTACTGGAGTGAGCGAAATGAAGCAAACAGAATGATTTCAAAGTCTGTTTTACATTTGACACACATTTAGATTAAATATGACACTCTGAATAATGTTAAAGTGTTAAAGTTAAGCACTGAAATTTCATGAAATTATTATCCAGAAATTACAACATTTGTATATGAATTTAAACAGAAATATTTGCAGTGGATGTGCTGCTTTCGAACAATGTTCCTGTGGTAGGCTATGTGATTTAATGTTTTAATCACACCAAGGATTGCTTGGCGTATGACAATTCCGCTTTAAATTGTGTTTTAAATAGCAAAACTCATGTTCTGAGAAAATACTTTTGCACGAATAATGACCATTGATGTGATCTTGACTTCGTCTGATGGCTTTGGAACACAGATGGTAATGACAGACATAAGGATGCGCTCGTTGATCAAACAGTCCATTGGCTGGTTTGAACAGGTCCGATGACAGTAGAACCTCTGTTCACAGGTGCACAGACAGCACAAGACAGTAGCCGAATGATTTTGCCAAGTAAGACATGTTCCTTGATCAACATCTTTTGATGATCCTGGATCAACATTATTGTCCAAAAATATAGACTTAAACCAATCCCTACCCCTAAACCTAAACTTACCCATAATTTATTCCTAAAATCAGAGGGAAATGATAACTGATTAACAAGGGTGTAGAAGCACCTAACCCTGATTTTAAGCCTAAAACAGATATTTCCTGAAAAGTTCCTCAATTTTGATTGGTTGATTGGAATGTTGTTCCAGGATCAACAAGGATGTTGATCCAGGAACATGTTGTACTTGGTCAAATCACGCTCACCGTAAGATATGCACGTTTTATTTTCAAAATGTGTTGTTATTGACGCAGTCAGCTATTTACACTGCAAAAACAATTAGGCCTATCTCTTTCCATAAAAATATAGGCTATAAACATTCTAAAATATATTAAATTTTCTGCCCCCATATCTTGAATTTTGGGAGCATTCTAAATGGATTTTATTAGACTGAATCATGCAGTGAAAGAACACACTCTAAATGAGCATTTAGTCCCACCCCCTTCACAAAAAAATAAAAATAAATAAAATAAAACTTTATATACATACGTATGATGCAATTTTTATTTTTTTTGTCTTGTCCTCGTTATCGTTGAGAAAACCTAATTCTAAGATAAAAGATGATTTTACTATGATCAGTGAATTAGGTGTACCAAACAATCACTAAGCAAAGAAGAATTAAATATCTAGCCTAGGGGTGTGCGATGTTGACAAAAAATTATATCTCTATATTTTCTGGGATTTTATCGATAATGATTGATAATCAAGACTGAATCATGCAGTGAAAGAACACACTCTAAATGAGCATTTAGTCTAGCTAGTGTTTAAGCACTCATAACTCCTCTCATAAATCAATAAAGCTGTCCATACACGGTACGATAAATGAATCGCTAACTTACATCTTATGTACATCTGCACTTTGTTGCTTATGATGAGGGAATTCACCAGTTTCTGTCTGAACAAAACTCTGGGGTTTCAGCGATGACTGATCTGAACGCCTCTGATTGGCTACTGCATTCCTAAACTCAACAGAATCGTGTGTGATTGGTTATAATGAGCAACGCTGTAAAAACGCGTAAAAATAAAATATGATGTAACATAAGCAGGTCTAAATGTAATACAGCAATCGAAACTTCATTTTAAGTATTAAAGTTTTATTGAAAAACCAGGGGACCCCCCAAGTACATTTTTTGGGGTGTTAATGGGGTTTGGGGTCCCTTAATGCTTATGGGAGGTCGGGACCCCCCCAGCACCCCCTCAATTCGAACACTGCCCAGTTGTTTTTGCTGTATCCCTTCTAGCCACAACCGCGGGTTACTTCGAGATTTTCCTATGGGGTTTTATAATGGGGTTTTTCAATACAACTTTCTAAAGAAAAAAATCCAAACTTAAGGAGTTTCTGTCTGAGTACACAGTAAAAAAAAAAAACAATTGTTGCTTGCGTTTTTTTTTTTTAATTCTGGAAATTCATTCATTCTTAGAGAAAACAAAAGGAAAATTGGGACTTTAAATTAGCTAGACTGAAACTTCAATAAAATATGATGTAACATAACCAGGTCTAAATTTAATACAGCATTCGAAATTTCATTTTAAGTATTAAAGTTTTGGGTGTTATGGGGGGTCCCTTAATGCTTATGGGAGCTCCCCTCAATTCCAACACTGCCTTAACTGCATTAAACATGGTGGATGGGAATATGCATGGAAATGATATGCAGATGACGTTATGCATATTAAAACTAGGCGTTGTAAGCTCCATAAATGGCTATTTCGGGGAGGAGACGGGGTGAAGATTCATGTACGCAGTTTTCCGCTGAATGGGTATTACAAAGGGAATTTTGCGCAGGTTCTGGCGTACGCATTGCTTTATAAATCTGAAATGTTTTGTATGTAACGTTACGCAAAATCTAGCTTTTGTGCGTACGCACACATTTAGGATGAAATCTACGTAAAGTTGTATACATGAGGCCCCAGGTATTCATCAATTATTTTTTTAGGTGCATGCTGAAACAGTACATTACTTTTTTAAAAACTATATTTAATATGGGTAATGGCAAGTGTAATGTAAGAAAAACAAATGTTGGTTTTACTATTTTATCTTTACTCTGACATAAATTATAAAACATAAGTTCTTCTTAAACATTCCGAGCTGGCAGGTATTTAAAATTATACAAGTGCAGACAAGAAAGAAAGAAAGAAAGAAAAAGAAAACAACTCTTACCTAAAATGATGCTGAGCATGAGCAACTTCAAACTACCTCCGTGGTGCATTTTTACCGAGAAAAATCCTGATGTCGTTAAGGCGGTTTGTTAATTTAACACGAGCATGACCACTGCCGGGAGAGACTTAATTTCTCTTGATTCCATAATATTACTAATATAACATACTGTGCAATACTTGTCCTGTAATGTAGCCTCTCTGTGAAGTGATTCCTGCATTCCGTCTCTGTTCTATCACGGCTGCCGTATCGCTGCAACCCAATCCGACATCAGTCGCCTAATTAAACAGCAGCAGAAAATAGATGCGAAACCGAGGCCAAGAAACACGCGGAAGGGATTTGGGAGTTGAGACAGCGCCGAAAATGCTGAAATATTAACAGGTCGTGTTGACTTCAGCATCTCGGTCGCAGTAATGTACACCCGAGCAGTGACACAGGTAGAAACAAACGTAAGCACAGGTGGGTGGGTGTAAGTCAAGATAATTGGCCCTCTGTGTCACTTCTGCACGCGGTAGAACAGCGCGAGCATAGTTGACAACACTGCTATAACAGCGACGATAGGTTAACTGTTCTGTGTGCATTAACGAATACAGTGACTGAAAAATTCTGACATTTTTCTTTTTTAGAGCAACCCTTTTTCAAAATGTTATATTAGTAACAGCCGTTTCTTTTTGAATGAACAAGTATGCTCATAACTCTTATAAATAAATAAAACGTATAAAGTCTAACTTTAAAACAGATCCTCACAACTGATTTAGCACAAATGCATCATCATTTTTGTATCCGACTATCCAATAATTGACAAACTCCATCTTTGGCTGTTTTACATTGTAGATGTTCATTTAAAAATGAATATGAATGTTTTTAGTTAAATGTATATATTATAATATTAATATAGAATATTAATGTTAGCCGTTATTCATGTTGATTTGATTGGTTCCTGATATTTAAAAGGCAACCCATCATAAAACTTATGTGCCTCACTTTTGCTAAAACCATTGTAATTACAATCTATGGCAAGAATTGTTACCATAATACATTTACATGTACGCATTTGGCAGAGGCTTTTATCCAAAGTGACTGGCATTCAAGGTACACATTTGCATTTTATCAGTTCCCAGGGAATTAAGCCAGTGCCATTCTCTACTGTTTAAGCTACAGGAAAGCATGTACTGTAATAATAAAAGATCAATTGAGCATTTTTTGTAAGATAACATTAAGCCTTTAAACTTCAGGGTTCCCACACCTTTTGACCCCCTTGTACACACAGAAAACTTCAAGCTGATGACATACCGGAAAGCAGAATAGACTAAAAAAAAAGTCACTAAAGACATTTCCATGACTTGAAAATTTTATTCATTTCCATGACTGTTATGGGCCTGGAAATCACAATTATCTGGTTCCATGATTGTGGGAACCCTGAAACTCCTTGTATATACAAAACGTATAGGTAAAATTTGATCTTAACTCCTTTTATGTGCATTAACCTTAACTTGCTCTAACTATAGTGACATCAAGGCTTTCAGTTCACTTTTGTGAGGTTGCATCAAATTGCATCAACAAGATGCCATTTATGCTAGCAACATCGCACAAAATTGATACAAGTCATAATCATATTCATAAAATCTCCTTGATATTACACACCATTTGATGGTAAAATGAAGTAGCAGAAAAAGACATGAAATACAACCATCCATTCTTAAGTATCTAACATGTTGTTCTGACATAAGCTAACATTAAAAATAAAAGAGCATGCAATTTTCCAAAGACTTAATTTCCATTATATGAACAATCTTAAATAACACGTTTCAGGTAATGACATTTAGACCTAGAATGTTTCCCCAAATGCAGCTCAAGGACAATCGCAAGCCATATGGCTTTTGAAGATGGAGTATAAAAGAAAACAAACCTGAAACATTCATCTGCAAAAAAAAGTGCCTTGATTAAAATCCCAACTCTCACATAACAGGCTTTTTACATGCGGAGAATGTTCAGTGATTGTGCCAACTACATACAAAATACAAAGATGAAAAGAAAAAATGACGACAAGTTCTGCATTAATACATTTGAAAATGAATACATTTTAAAAAATAGATATGACATGCCTTTTAGAATACAAGTAATCAAAAATACAAAAAGATTTCCTTTAACTTTTTTTTCATGAAGCTGCATGTTTTTAGTACAATATGCTTTGTACATAAGTAATGCACATTACAATGAACTGGTTGTACATATGAAACAAACCTCTGCATTATGTTTTACACTTAATACACTACTGCTCTTTGACAATCATACAAAATATTTTCTTTGTAAGAAAGTGCCAGGGCCTAACGGTAGTTGCAATCCATCTCCCAACATCTGAGCTATCATTCTAGACTAAGGGATGCCATTCAGTTTAGCATCATTCAACTGTTCAATGTAAGGAAAAGGAATACTTCACTAATAAAATACTACTTACTATGTAACACTATGATTAACCATGTTCAAAATGTATATGTAACCATTGCTGAATCAGCCTATTATATGAGAGAAATACTGTGCTTGTGGACTGTCAAACAGAAAAAACAAACTGTCAGTAGAGCAGGATCCTTGGGATCACAATTTCCTTTTTGTCCTTCCTCTTCTCTTTCAATTGGGAAGTACCACAGGATATTTAGAATTACACTATTAACACCTTGCAATTCTTTTTTATAATTACAATAAAATAAAAATAAAAAACATTAAAAAAAAACACTAAATTTATCTTTACTGCATACAATTTTATTTTATTTTTTTTAAAAAGGCCTCATTAAAAAAAGTGTTATGAAAATAATATTTCCAGAAAAAACAAACACTATGACAGGGTCACAATCCAATGTAGACAAATTATGTAATCAGTGATTGTCTATTACTAAGAATGACCCATTTATCAGAAAACTGCACACTGTAAACGCAAACAGCATAAATGGCACCAATGACATGTAGAAAGTGAACAAGTTCATTTCCAAAACAAACAGGACACAGAGCAGAAAAAGAGAGAAGGGGATACAACTAGCCTGGCCCTGCTTCACTCACCTTGAATGGCACTACTGTAGTTTCAACTCCTACTCAATTTGAAGTATCATCTTTATCTTTAGAACTGAAAAGGCAATATCAGAAGAATGGAAATGATGAAAATTTGCAGTGTGATCATCTCTTACTCTCAGACTATGATGCACACTCATTCATCTAGCTTACGTCACAATATACCTCTTGACACAGCTACACCTCCCCCAGAATTAAAGAAAAACCAGAACGTCACGCAGGCAGGTTTAAACCACAGCGATGAGACTGTTATGCTGGTGCTATAAACAGGGCTCTACCAGACTTTAGCCCTTCATCCTCTCCTTTGCAGCTGAGTTAGAATAGATTAGCTCTGGGCAAATGCTACATTAACTCCAAAAGTTAACACGAAAATACTTCCATGTAATTAACACTAAAACATAAAGGTGACATCTCTTTAAAGAACACCTGCTTAAAAAACTAAAATATCAAAAATACACAGGCTAAATATGAAGCCAAAACAGTACTTAAAATATGTAATAAAACAGTGGCTGACAAAATACCATTTTGAGATGCTACTAATTAATATGCTGTTGGCTCTTGAAAGGTGAATAAATACCTGTGGAGAGACAATAGATGGAAGTTGCAGACTTCTGATTCACTGGTAGGAAACGTCTTATTTAAACAATTTAAGAATTTAGTCGCTGCAAATCTTTCTTTATAAAACAGACATCACTCTGGTTTAAACCATTCTCAATCACACCATATATATATATATATATATATATATATATATAAAAAGAGTGATTCCACTGTG